TGCATCAGAGCCAAGTCTCTGGGATTCTGAACGTCTTATAGGCTCAGGAGGCCCTTTTCTCTTTAATATTCGCTGCTATTTAGTGAGCCTGTATTCTGTGCTCATAATATTATCCCCCATTTACACGTGAGAAAACTGAAGCTTAGAAAAGTTAAAAGCATGCTTAAGGTCATGCAGCTCTTCAGATTGTCAAGTCATGACTCAAGCTGAGGTCTTCCCAAGGTCTGGGAATGTTTGTTTTTCTGTACTGTGCTGTATAGTCTCTGTTGAAGGTTCCCAGAAGTCCACACATGCCATGTCCTGCCTTAAGTCTCTCTGGCCCCATCAAGGTGTTCTAATTGTCTTGCCCTCAGTCATGGACCAGAGCTGGTTTCTGGACTTACAGAGCATGACCAATAGAAATGTGGGACCTGGGCTCAGCATGAATGCATGTTCCATGGCTGATTACAGATGCAACAGAGCTTCCATGCTTCTAGCTACAGCAGCTGTGCACGTGTCCTTGGCCAGCAGGAGCCCATTTTAAATGCCAGACTGTCAAATCTGTGTGTGTGTGCATGAGTGCATGCACATGGGGGTTACAGAATTTAGCTCTAATTACAAAAACAATATATGAAAATTGTAGAAAATATGAAAATACAGAAACAGTACAAATATAAAATCTTGATATGATCTCACAACTAAAAGATAATTACTATTAATAGTTTGGAGTGCATCCTTCTAGTCACTTTTATGTACAAAAATGGAATCATAGTGGACATGATGTCTTTACTTAAAATATTTCAGAAATGAATTTCTGCATCATTAATATTCTTTTATAACCTGCTTCTTAATAACTACATAGTATTTCATCATGTGGCTCATCATATGTATGAAACCAGTTCTCTATTGTTGAATATTTAGGTTATTTTTAGTTTTTATGCTGCTATAAATAGCCTCATATGTTTTTGTACTTTTCTGATTCTTTGCTTAGATAAATTTCTAAAACAAAATTTCTGGGTCTAAAGGTGTGTCAGTCAGCATCCCAATCATAAACTTAAGACAGAATCAAACTAAGATAATCCAAGGAGGGTTTATTTATAGAGCAGTGAATTTACAAAGGTATAGGTAGGGAACAGGTGACCACAGAGGAATCCAAGGCTACAGAGCCATCAGTGCCCTATACCCAAAAGCAGGGAATGATGAAATGAACCTTCAAGAGACAGACAGTGGTAGGGGAGGTGGCCAGACAGGGAAGGTACCAGGAGAATAAGTACTCAACTTCCCTCCTCCTGTCTCCTGCCCATAATTCTCCTTTCTCCTCTGCCCAAGAGTCAGGTCAGGAAACAAAGCATGGCCTGTTGATGTAATCCACTGGGTCAGTCTTCCTGGGTGAAGGCAGGGTAGAAAGGGTGGAGACTGGATCTGTCTGACACAAAGGATATGAATCTTTCCACGGCTTTTGTTAAATATTTCCAAATCACCTTCTAGAAAGATGGTTCAAATTTGCATACCCACCAGACATAATGAATGCCAGTTTTTTGAATCCTTCCCTCTACTGAATTTTGTCATTTAGAAATCTTTGTCAGTTTGACAGGCAAAATTATAATGGCCTTTGATTACTAGTAAATTCTAACTTATATGTGTATATATTAACACACACACATATTATAGGTATGCATATTCTATGTATTCTCTATATATGATATATACATATTCTGTCCATTTATAGTTCTCCTATTTAATTTGAAGCATAGTGTAATTAAGAGAACAGGTGTTAGAGTTAGGCAGATTCCACAGTTCCAGCACTGCCATTGAACAGCTATATGATTTTTGGGAGGTAACAACCTAAGTCTGTTTTATCATCTGGAAATGGGGATAATACGCATATCATAGGGTTGTAAGATTTAAATGCAATAATACATTTAAAGTGCTTACTACAGTGCTTGGCATATTATAAGTCTTCTGTAAATATGAACTATTATTATTATTACTTTTTCATTTTTTTCTACTGGGGCTTTGTTTATCACTGTACACATCTATATATATAAAAGCCTAAGCAACTGAATGACTGGTCGACCGGTTGCCATGATGCGCACTGACCACCAGGGGGCAGACACTCAATGCAGGAATTGCCCCTTGGTGGTCAGTGCACTCCCACAGCCAACCTCCTGTGGCTGGCCAGACTCCCAACCCCCCATTGGCCCTGATTGCCAGCCAGGCTGAGGGACCCCACCCATGCACGAGTTTGTGCACCAGCCTCTAGTTTTCATACAGAAAGGATACTAATCATTTCTCTGACATATATAGAAAACATTTTTCTGGTTTGTCAATTACCTTTACTATAGTAATTTTTTATATATCTACATTTAATTTTTATAAGCTTCAAATAATCTTTCTTTTCTCATTTAATTTTTTTAAAATATATTTTATTGATTTTTTACAGAGAGGAAGGGAGAGGGACAGAGAGTCAGAAACATCGATTCAGCTGCCTCCTGCACGCCCCCCACTGGGGACGTGCCCGCAACCCAGGCACATGCCCTGGCCCGGAATCGAACCCAGGACTCTTCAGTCCACAGGCCGATGCTCTATCTGTTGAGCCAAACCAGCCAGGGCTCATTTAATTTTTAAAAACATGTTTTCATTGATTTTGAGAGGGAGAGAGATAAAAATATCAATCAGCTGCCTCCTGCACACTCCTCACCAGGCATCAAGATTGCAACCCAGACATGTGTCAGGACTGGAATCGAACCAGTGATCTCTTGATGCACAGGTCAACACTCAACCACTGAGTCACACCTGCCAGGCAATAGTCTTTCTTTTGAAATGTTTTTATGTGTTTTTCTTTGCTTTATGTTTAGAAAAGCATTTCCCTCCCTGAAATATATGCACCTTTATTTCTTATATATTTTGGGGGCCTGATTTTTTAATATTCTAACTGTAATTTATTTTTGCATGTGGCATGAGATAGGGATCTCATTCATTTTTCCCATGTATATAACCTATTGCTGCAGCAATATTCATTGATAAGTCTATCCTCTCATCACTGAAAAGAAATTTCACTTTTACCTGGTACCAGACAATTATATGTACTTGGTCTTTCTTTGGGCTTTTTCTTTTGTTCAAACTATTGTGATACCAGTCTAAGACAAGCAGTCATTCAGAGAGGCTGGTTGAGAAAGCAGTAGTTATGCACTTAGGCCTTCCTCAGGATCACAGCATAAGGTCCTGATTTTGATGAACTCTGATTTGCTTCACACCCCTCCTTGCTTTGTTCCCCCCTTCCATCTCTCTCTCTCTCTCTCTCTCTCTCCTCCCCCCCCCATTCGCTTCTCTAGGTGTCATTATAATAAAAATGCCTGTCATTCATTGAACACAAGCCACGTAATGGACACTTTGCATACATTCTGCTCATGCCAGGTCCACAACGTACCAGCTCCACAACACAGGTCTGTTTTCTTTTTAAAAAAATATTTTTTATTGACTTCTTACAGAGAGGAAGGGAGAGGGATAGAGAGTTAGAAACATCGATGAGAGAGAAATATCAATCAGCTGCCTCCTGCACACCCCCTACTGGGGATGTGCCTGCAACCAAGGTACATGCCCTTGACCTGAATCGAACCTGGGACCCTTGAGTCCGCAGGCCGACGCTCCATCCACTGAGCCAAACAGGTCAGGGCATAGGTCTGTTTTCTTATCTCTGCTGTACATACCTGAAGAACTGTGAGGTAGGGACACAAGTGCCCTCCAAGGGCAATGGGCAAGAGGTATAGAACAGGTGGAGGAGGAGAGGCGATTTGTCCAGGCTCCCTCATTGCTCATCTTTTGATTGGTCTGCTTGCCCACAGTGAGAGCTTTGCCCAAGGGCACATACTTGTGTACAGCAGAGGTGAGTCTAGAATCAGTTTTTCCTGAGCAGTGGTACCTGTGGACCTGGGTTCCTGCCACAGGAGCACATTGATGGGATGTGTTAGTTAGGAAACCAGTACATTTTTTTTTTCAGTACATTTTTTTAATTGGAAAAAATATATATAGAATGCTCCACAAATTTGTGTGTCATCTTTGCACAGGGACCATGCTAATCATCTCTGTATCTTTCCAATTTTAGTATATGTGCTGCCAAGGTGAGCCTGTACCAGTACGTGTTATTGTTACCTGTATTATTGTACATCTCATTCTAGTTTGTTATGCCTAGAACTAGACTGGTACCTTCCTTCCCCTTCTGTAGCAGTGATCCTGGGGGGTGGGGCAGGGGTCCAATGGCAAAAACAGCTGGTGGAGTTTTTGCTTGACTGATGACGAGTAGGTTCCTTTTCTAATCTTGGCTTCAGTCTCTTTATCTGTGAGACCATGCGAATGATAGATTGAAATCTTTTGTAGATTTAAAATATTATGATTCTCTGACATTTCAATTGAAAAAAGCAGTCTCAACAAAGTAGGGAAAAAGATATGTAATGTAAATTTGCCACTTTACCATCAAGCCAACATAAAGCCAGATCAATTAACTCATGCAGAATGATTAATGATTAAGGATATTTTGCCTGGCCAGTGTCACTCAGTGGTTGAGCATCAACCCATGAACCAGGAGGTCTCAGTTCGATCTACCATGAGGACACATGCCCTGATTTCTGGCTCGATCACCAGTAGTGGGTGTGCTAGCTCAGCCTCGGCCTGTGGACTCCCGGGTTTGATTCTGGTCACGTGCCTGGGGTTGGGGCTCGATCTCCAGTGTGGGGCGTGCAAGAGGCAGCCAATCAATGATTCCCTATCATCATTGATGTCTCTATCTCTCTCTTCCTCTTCCTTCCTCTCTAAAATAAATAAAAATATATATTAAAAAAAACGAATATCCCCAGGTTACTTATTTATCTCAAGACTTAGGTGTCCCTAATGTCACCCTCCACTTCTTTCATTTTCTAAACTCCTTAATAAAATTCTCTGCAAGCAGTTTTAATTTCCCCAGTGAACAAGCTGATTGGTGTTCTACAAGAAAAGAGATAACTCTGTGGGCTTGGCAAGTTTTAGAAAGCCTACTCAAACAGGCACACAGGTGTTTCCTGGCTCAGTAACTGCAGGTGGGGTCCTGGGGTTGAACCTGAGTCAGAGCCTGCCTTGTTCCACCGTGCTTCCCCTTAAGGCTTCATTCTTAGGCAGGCTGTTCCTGTGTGGTGGCTTCAAGAGCCCCTAGTACCTGCAATTTCATTCTTCTTTTATGTAACAGCCCCAGCAGAAGCAGAATTTGCCTTTCCACCACTTTTGGAAAAATAACAGAGGGGAAGCTCATTAGTTTGGTTGGAGTCATGAGCCCATCTCCCACCAGTCCTAAGGCCATGGGGACAGAGGTCTCTCACTGGCTCATAGTGGGTCTTGGGGCCCTCTACTTCTGGACTAAGAAGAGGGGAGAATTGGAGTGCCATTAACCAAAAGAGGGGGGTGAAACGATGGTTGGGCATAAACCACATTGCATTTGAGGAAAGAACATTCATAAAGTATTTATATTTTATAAAGTATTTTCACATATGTTTTTTTACCTCATTGCAACCAGATGAAATTTGTAAAAGCAGGCATGGTTAATATCGCTGTTTTATAGATAAGGAAACTGGCTTAGAGAGGTGTAAAAGTAGCACTAAATTACACAGGTAATAAGTGGCAGAGCTGAACCTCAAATCTGAGATTTCTACTTCAAGATCTGCTATTCCTTCTCTATATGAAATCATTCATGAGGCTACTTTAATTACTGTTGCCTGTAATGAATTTTATAGAAAGCAGATCATCAAAGCAGGACCTAGATGGGACCTAGACATTCATTCTATACAGTGAATCCTTGTTGAGATTATGTTTGCTATAGAATGATTTACCTTCTGAGTCACTTCCCATACATCAAGCATGTTTACTAAGAGGAGGACCAGTTGGCAGAAGCACTTCACCTAGGCAGCAAAAACATAAATAAATAAAAATAAATCTGTATTTTTGTTTTATGCTAGTAATGAGTATCATTATATGAAAATTAGAAAAGGCAAACAACTTAAAAGGAGAAAATAAAAGCCACCTATAATCCCATCACTCAGAATTAACAAATGTAAACATGTATAGCTTTCTGAACTTTTCCCATATGGGAAATACATAAAATATATTTTTACAAAAAATTGTTATTATAGTGTACAGATCTTGCTGTTTCAGTTACCAACATCTTTCAAGCCAGCGAACACAGCTTTCCAACCTCATCTGTAAGGCTGATCTCAAGAGTGATGGGCTTCCATTTCTCAGTCTACCCGCTGCTGTGTGAGACTGGTTGGTTCCAGTCTTTGTTGTGTGAACTGTGCCATGATGGAAATTCTTTTTTTTTTATGGGAAGTCTTAAAACCAAATTGTTATGAACATCCTTAATTGTTTCCTTAGGACCGTGGTTGGCAAGCTGTGGCTCGCGAACCACATGAGGCTCTTAGGCCCCTTGAGTGTGGCTCTTCCACAAAATACTACGTGTGGGCGCACATGTACAGTGCAATCGAAACTTCGTGGCCCATGCGCAGAAGTCATTATTTTGTGGAAGAGCCACACTCAAGGGGCCAAAGAGCAGCATGTAGCTCGTGAGCCGCAGTTTGCTGAGCCGCAGTTTGCTGACCACTGCCTTAGGGTGCACTTCTAGAAGTGAAATTGTGGGTTCAGAATGTGTGTTTTTAAAACTTTTCATTCATATTGCCACTCCCCTCCAAAAATGTAGACTGATTTCTGTTCAAGTCAGCACTGATTCAATAATGGCATGTGTGTGTGTGTGTGTGTGTGTGTGTTGGTAGGCCAAAAAAATTTATCATCTTGCTTAGTTTACGCTTCTTTCATGACTACTGCGGTTGAGGTAGTTTTTAATTATACTGAAAGCGTCTTCCTTTGTATCTTTGTTTTATACAAATCTATTTTGAGTTTTGTGAGTATTTTTATATTAGCGTTCGGTTAACTGGCTTGAGTGTTGCACTCAGGGGACAATTTTCAGTGATTCAACATTAATCTAAAGGGATATTTAAAGTGATTTTCAAGGCCACTGGCCCTGATGCCTGTTTTAATTCCATGTCTTAAACAGAGGAATCAGTTCATTAATATTTAAGCAGATACAAAAGGTCATCCATGAAATATGGCTTTCTTGGATGGAAGAAATAAAGTCCAGTGTGTCCTTGATAAACTGGGGAACAAGACCTCGAAACTGTGATGAGCCCTGGCCAGTGTGGCTTCGTTGGTTGGGAGTTTTCCTGTGGACAGAGAGGTTGTAGGTTCCATTCCTGGTCAGAGCACTTGTCTGGGTTTTAGGTTTGATCCCAGTGGAGGTGCATACAGTGCATTCGTGTGTCCGGGAGGCAACCGATGGATGGGTGTTTCTCCCTCCCTCGCTCTCTAAAATAAATGAAAGCATGTCCTGGATTAAAAAACCAAACAAAAAAAACCAAAATATAAACAAACAAAAACCAAAAAAATCCCCCAAACAAACAAACAAAAAACCTGATGAAATAAATATAAGAGAGAGAAAATGCAACATGATCGATTTAGAGAACAAAAGCCAGTACCATAGTGAGATTCAAAGGGAAAAAGAAAAGAATCCAAGTTGTCAAGAGACCTGGAGCTTCATCATAGTGACCCCTATAGGCCTCTGAGCCACCGATCACATCGCTGGGGAGAATGCGGCTTAAGTGCTGTGATGAATGATGTTACTCTGTCAAGAACCTTATTTTACATTGTGCATCAGTTAGCCTCTAGTTCAGCGGTTCTCAGCCTGCGGGTCGCGACCCCTTTGGCGGTCAGACGACCCTTTCACAGGGGTCGCCTAAGACCATCCTGCATATCTGATATTTACATTACGATTCATAACGGTAGCAACATTACAGTTATGAAGTGACAACGAAAATAATTTTATGGTTGGGTCATAACATGAGGAACTGTATTTAAAGGGCCAGAAGGTTGAGAACCACTGCTGTAGTTAGTGGATCTTGTTTAGTTTCAACAATTCATTCAGCATATATTAGTTTTGTAACTACTCTGTTGATTTTGTATAACGACTGTTAAAACTGTGGCGAATCCAGAGTTTTCACAAGAGAAGAAAAATATTAATAGGAAGCGTTGCAGATAAAGAGTAATTATTGATGGTTGTTTAGCCCCAGGGAAAGAAGGCTAAATTAGGGCCACTAGGACATATGTATGTGTGTGTTTCTCCTGAGGGAGATACTTCCCAGGTGATCCTCACTTAGTAGATAAAACAGAAATGGGCTTAAGGTTTAAGGAAATTAGGGTGAGAGAAAAAAAAGCCAACAACAGCAGTTCCTCTCTAAGGAGGCCAAGATGTGTTCTTGAAGAGGATTGTGAACCCACCTTTTCTAGACTTCCTAGGCACCTGCCAGAGGGCTGAGGCAGTCAGATAGCCTCCTAGATCCCTCCTAATGTTAGGCCCCAAGAACCCTCGTAGTCCCATTATAATAACAGGTTGACCACAGATAATATCTACTGGGAGCTGGATTGTGTGGAAAGCTTAGAGGAATGCAAGACATATAGTGAGACTTTTAGAGATTGCCTTGGGGAGAAAAAAGTACCTTCCATGGGACAGGTGTTTTTGCATTCATTATGTCATTTCATCTTAGCCTCCTGTCGCAGAGGCTGGGTGTGCAGCGCCTAGAGGCCAGTCACCCAGAATTCCAATCCCTGCCTGCAGATCTCTGAAGCTTGACCTTGGCTCTCACATTTCACCCAATCTGGTGATTCAAGCACAGCTTTAAAGAGATTGGCTGTGACCAGAGGGGCAGATGAACTGGGAGAGGTAATGTTACTGCTGTCAATTTGCTCTTCTCAGCATCTGAAGACAAGTCTTAGGGCTGGTCTGACCAGGAGGTAGGAGGTGTCTTGAATGACTGGCTTTGACTACATATGAGCCTGAGTTTTACAGCTTTACAATGTGCCAAATTTAGCTTCAAAGCTTAGAGAAAGTATCCTCTACTCTCCAAGCTCTTGTTTCCTCATCTGTAAGAGGAGGGCAATGGGCCCTTGGATCTTGCAGGGTCCCTATCTGATACCCTGTATCTGGGATGGGGAGCCTGATTTTCCCCAGGACTTACAGAAGATGTAGTTTCCAATGATGGCCACCAGAAGGACTTCAGCTTCACAGCGCTGGCGTGTCACCGAAGGAAGGAAGTTCACAGCCCATCACTGCACGAGGAGACTAGAGGACTTGGAGTGGCCCACCTTACCTGGAGAGGAGACCCATTCCCCCCTCCCTCCTCCTTACCCCTGTTGCTGCCCTCCTCTCCTCTCCCTTTCTTTTCTCGCCGTATCTCTGGCTCTCTCCTTTTCCTCATCCACCTCACTTCTTTTTTTCTCTTCTTCAATTGCCAATTTACTGCTTTATTCCCCTCCAAAATGACAGCTAAGGCTTCTGCTCCTTACTCAGTGTTGCAAGTCCCTGGAAGCCTGGTCTCCCTGCCTTGGACAACTGAGTGGGACAAGCATTCTTCCCTGCCCACCAGGCTTGTTCTCTGTCATGGCAACTGTGTTCCTTTCTCCTGGAGTGTTCTGAGCTCTTAGTCCAAGATGACCTGCTCTCTTCTCTTCTGGTGGTTCCAGCACATTCACTAACCAGTTAAAATGATATATATCTCTATCTCTATCTCTGTCTCTGTCTCTGTCTCTATCTCTCCCTTCCTCCTTCCTTCCCTTCCTCTCTCTCCCCTCTCCCTCTTCTAAAATTTTCAAATTTACAGAAAACTTACAAGAATAATTCCTATATACCTTTCACTTAGGTTCCCCTATTGTTAACATTGCTTTATTCTGTATATGTATATGTAGACATATAGACATAGAATTTTTCTAAACAATTTGACAGTAAGTTGCAGATATGTTATTCCTTTACCCATAAATACTTCAGTGTATATATTTTTTCAATACTTACCTGAAGACACGTTCTTCGATTTTTAGAGAGAGAAATATTGATGTGAGAGAGAAACATCGATCAGTGTCCTTCCATATGTGTCCCACTGGGAATAACCTTCAACCTAGGTTTGTGCCCTGACTGGATTTTCCCCAGGACTTACAGAAGATGTAGAGGCCCTTGGCCTCTCGCTAGCTCTCCTTGCATCTTTTTCATCTCCTAGTCAAGGCCTGGGTTATAGAATAAGAGCCCAGTTTAGGAACAGTGGTCATAATCTGTGGGTCTCATCCGTTCCTGTGACCAGAGGGTCCTTACACCTCATACAGGGAACCTTTTCTAATGGGGTGTTCTTGGTGAAATCCCCAGATGAGGAAAAACAAACAAATTATAAAAACAATAGAGACGATATCCATCAAACTGTTAGTAAGGGCTATATCTCTGAGGGGTGTAATCATATAAACTTTCTACTTTATACATTTCTATATTCATGGAATTTGTGTGTCAGATTTATGTCATTTTTATTATCATGAAGGAAATGAGGGCCAGCCTGGCCTCTGTTTCCCCTGCAGTCTGCCCCTCCCCTTACCCAGGTATATTTCCCAGTCTTTTCTGATATAACCAATAGTGCGACCTCCCACTGTCCTCCCGAGGGTCTCATGGTTCTTTTATATCATCTGCTCAGCAAATACTGAACAAATCAATGAATAATAAAACCAGTGAATGAATTTTCCATCTCTGTCCTTAGATTATGGTTTCCCAGACTTGACTGAGAAGGCAGGTCCTATAGAAGACAGCAGCCAGGGCCAAGAGGCGTCGAGCCTCCCCCCTCCCTTGCCTAAGATGAACCTGGTAGAGCCACCTTGGCATATGGCTCCTGGAGAGGAGGAAGAGGAAGAGGACGAGGAGAAAGAGGAGGAGAAGGAGGATATAGAGAAAGAAGAAGAGGAGGAGGAGAAGGAAGAACTGCCTGTGAACAGAGCCCAAGAAGAAGCCCAAACTCAGGTCCACGACTTTTCTCCCACCAGCAGCAGCCAGACTCCTCTGGCCCCCAAACACAAGCATGAAGATTCTGGGGACCAGGCCTCCTCAGGTGTGGAGGTAGGGAGCAGCATTGAGCCAAGCCTGTCACCACCCTCAGTCACCCCAAGTACAGTGACCCTAGGGGGTCAGGACTTCACCAGCCAGGAGGCAGGGGACACAACGCTGCCAGCTGCAGGGCGTGAGGTAGATTTTGAGGCTCCGCAGGAGGCAACTGAGGAGGCTACCATGGGAATAACTGTGTTGGCTGGCAAGCAAGGGGAGGTGCTGTCCTTGGCCTCATTCCCTCAAGCAGAAGCCCCAAGTGGGGTGGAGACCCCAGATGAAGACCCCCTTTACCCTGGAGCCTCAGCCACTGTCCCCCTGGCCTCCCAAGACATGGAACTGACACCGTCCTCTGCTACCTTGGGACAAGAAGACCTCAGCCAGCAGCCCCAGGAAAGGCAGGCTGCTGAAGCTCAATCCAGAATCCCCTGGGATTCTACGCAGGTAACGTGGAGGTACAGGCAGGCCACTGGCTACTCTGGGGCTGCACTGCGGTGGGAGGTCTGCCAGGCTGAGCATGGAGGGCCTTGACACCAGGCAGAGTCTCAGCAGAACTGCTGGGGGTGCACACCTCATGGTTCAACAGTGGGTATCCGCACCACACTTAAGTGCAAAGTGGAAGCTTTGGAAGAGTCTGCTGCCTTGGCCTGGTTTTTACTTGTTCAGGTGCTACTGCTGCTACTCTTGGCTTCCACACTGCTTATGACAGTGGAGAGAGCTTGTGCTTGACCTGCATTCTCTCCAGCCATTTCCATACCCACCATCACATGCACAGTCACCCTCTGCTCCTCCCCTCATCATCCCTGCCCTGCGTGCACACCCTCCAACACCAGAAGGAAAGGAAAGGGGTCCTGAGTTTTTAGCCTATGCATCTGGCCTACAGAGCATTAAAAACAAAGTTTGTTCCTAGCTGGGGCAAGCTCTCTGTAGTCTGGCCCCTTGGGCACAGATTCCTCTTCCTTTGTGTCACTCCTGGCTTCCTCCTCTCACTTGCTCCCTGAAGCAAATATGGGTTTGTGAACTTGGGTTGGATCCTGGGCATGTCACCTTGCAGAGGCTGTCAGCTCCCACCTGGCTATCACAGACCTTTACCTGGCCTTCATCTCCCAGCTTCTCAGAGTTTTTACCCAGGCTTTCTCTGGATGCCTTTCCTTATACCTTTCTAACTGTTACACTTCTTTCTGTTTCATTGTACAGGTGGTCTGCAAAGACTGGAGCAATCTGGCTGGGAAAAATTACATCATTCTGAACATGACAGAGAACATAGACTGTGTGAGTGCTAAGCTAGGCTGAGGACCGCAGGCTGAGATTGGAGGCAGGCGGGCAGAGCGGAGGCAGTGGGCAGGCACTGGGGAATGGGCAGTGGATGGGGTAGAAGGCTTAGCTCTTAAGTCAGAGGCGGGCTAGCTTCACCCAGGGGATGAACCAACATCCAAGAAAACAGTGCTTTCATGTTTTCAGATTTCTAAGGGCTCTTTTGTTCTTGCCCCCTCCGATTTTAATTTAAAGGAATAGTTTTGCTCATGCATGCAATATCTTATTTCTCTGAGGATATGGAATCATTTTTTAAAATCTTTTCTTCCTGTATAAGTTGCTTTCCTGATTTCTCTGTTTCAGTCTCAGTTTTCCACATGCATACTCTCTTCAAATGTCTGGCGGTGTTTGCCACCAGGAAGCTGGCTGGAAGCTTTGGGCGTGGTGATGGAGTTTCTTAACTATGGCTTCTCAGGAGGGTGGTCTGACCGGGTCATTTCTTTTGAAAATTTCTAATCTCAACATCATTAGATCCTTCCTCCTAGGTGATTAGATCCTTTGAAAAGGGGACTTCTTTTCTACTGGGAGTATAAGGGGCTGGTTGCCAGTGTTCTGGGAACCAGAGTGGGGAGAAGGCTGGGCGTCTTAGTATTAGAAACATATGTGCATGCATATATTTTACTCGCTTGTTTACAGTGTGAGCCCCCTTTCATAGTTGTGCCTGGTGTCTCCTGAGCCCTCTCTCCTTGGCTTGTAGATGACTGTCTTCTCCCAGTGTCCTCACATGGTGCCCCCCCGTTCATATCTGTGTCCTCATCTTCTCTCTTGTAAGAACACCAGTCATTGGATTAAGGCCCTCCCTAATGACCTCATTTTAACTTAGTTACCTCTTTAAAGGACCTGTCTCCAAATATAGCCACATTAGGACATACTGGAAGTTAGGACTTCAACATATGAATTTGAGGGTGACACCGCTAGTCCTTAGCAATACTCTTGCATTTTTTCCCCTTTAACAATATAATCTGGAAACCACTTTATGTCCATTAGAGAGATCATTCTTTTTAAAAAATATTTATTTTTTTAAATTATATTTTTATTGATTTCAGAGAGGAAGGGAGAGGGAGAGAGAGATAGAAATATCAATGATGAGAATCATTGATCGGTTCCCTTCTGCACGCCCCCTACTGGGGATTGAGCCCACAACCTGGGCATGTGCCCTTCACTGGAATTGAACTCGGGACCTTTCTGTCCACAGGCCGAGGCTCTATCCACTGAGCCAAACCAGCTAGGGCAAAGTCTTGATTATTGAGAGTATTACAGATGTTTCCTCCTTTTTTTCCCCTTGCCCCCTACTTCCTGGTTCCTGCCCCACTATCTGTGTCCATGGGCAATGCATATATGCATATAAATTCTTTGATTAAACTCTTCCAGCTTCTCCTTCTCCCTTCCCTCTGAGATTCGCCAGTCTGTTCTATGATTTCAAGTCTCTAGTCCTTTTTATTGTGTTCATTAGATTCCACATATAAGTGAGATCATGTGATATTTGTATTTCTCTGTCTGGTTTATTTCACTTAGCAAAATCATCTCTAGGTTTCTCCATGCTGTCTCAAAGAGTAGTAGATTCTTCTTTTTTACAGGCTGCATAGTATTTTATTGTGTACATGTACCACATCTTTTTTTATCCATTCATCTAATGATAGGCACTTGGGCTGTTTCCAGTTCTTATCTATTGTAAATAGCATTGCTATGAACATAGGGGTGCATATGTTCTTCCTGATTTGTGTTTTGGGATTCTTAGGAATATATCCTAAGTGGGATCACTGGGTCAAATGGCAATTCCATTTTTAATTTTTTGAGGAGACTCCACACTTGTTTTCCATAGTGGCTGCTCCAGTCTGCATTTCCACCAACAGTGGACTAGGGTTGCTTTTTCTCCACATCCTCACCAGCACTTATTGTTTATAGAGACCATTCTTAATCATTT